ACACACACACACACACACACACACACACACACACACACACACACACACACACACACACACACACACACACACACACATATATATATATATAGTTATATTTATACAGATACATGACACACACACGCACACACAAAGAGATATAACCTATGTATACCTATTTTTGGCAATACCTATATAAACCGTTGTGCACAACTGATTCGATGAGACAACTCTAACTGTAGAATTATTCACATTTGAAAATGCATAGGCTGTACTGCTCCTATACTTTTATCATACTTGTGTTTCGAGATTCTCCGCCTTCACATCATATAAGTCCGATATGTCATCCTCATTGAAGTCTTCTAACAAGTTCTTGATGGTGTCGGCATCAACCTCTTGAGTATCCGGAGAGTTGTATGCCTCTGCAACCATCATAGTGGGCGGATACTTTCTATACTACGATCACTTTTTAATATACGAATTATCCCTGCCACCTCACATCGCTTCCATTCTACGACGTCAGCCAGGTATTTACTTCTGTTCGCAACAAGCTTTGCATCTGAGCTCTTCTGTTGACAGACCTCAAGCGGTAGTAAATGCTGAATTGCACCTGCCAAAAATATAAAAATCCTTATCGGTGCGATCTCAAAACCAGAGAGAGAGATTTTGAAAACTATTTATTTATGCATTCCGACTTTCCAGGACACCGGGGGTTTTGTTTAAACAAAAAGGAAAGAAAAAAAATGGTACATAGACTAAAATATTTACAAACGATCCGCCTAAAGCAATACTAAAAGTACACCTTTTCATTTTGGTGGGGTAATGTCTGGATAGCAATCATTAGCAGCTTCAATGTTCAAAAGGCAATACTAAAAGAAGATCTTTTCATTTTGGTGGGGTAATGTCTGAATAGCAATCATTAGCAGCTTCACATGTTCAAAAGGCAATCCTAATAGTACACCTTTTCGTTTTGGTGGGGTAATGTCTGGATAGCAATCATTAGCAGCTTTAATGTTCAAAAGGCAATACTAAAAGTACATCTTTTCATTTTGGTGGCATTAAAACAGCTTCAATGCTTACCCAACACTAAAAGTACACCTTTCAATTCCTTTGATGTATTATTTGGATGTCTACAATCATTAACAGCTTCAATGCCGAAGCAATACTAAAAGTACACCTTTGGATTTTGGTGGTGTTCCTCTTTGAATTTTATTTAACAATCTTTATTTAACGGCTTGAATGCTTACGCGTAACACTAACAGTACACCTTTTGATTCTGGTGACGTGTTATGTTTGTATGTTTACAATCACTAACAGCTTCCATGCCTAAGCAATACTAAAATACACCATTCGACTTTGGTGGCTTTTATGTTTGCATTTTAACAATCATTAACAGCTTCAATGCGTAAGCAACAGTAAAAGCACTCCTTTTAATTTTAAAAGCAATACTAAAAGTACACCTATTGATTGTGGTAGAGTATTGTATTTGAATAAACACAATCATTGACAGCTTCAATGCCCAAGCATTACTAAAAGTACACCTAACACCTTTTAATTTTGTTAATTTTTAAAGCATTGCTAAAAGTACACCTTTTGATTTTGGTCGCGTATTATATTTGAATGTTTGCAATCATTCGTAGCTTCGAACCGCACCTATAAGAGCAAGTTCAAAGCACCCTACTTATGGACCAGTATTGCGTCATGGCTGAATTATAGTTTGTTTGTGAGAATACAGTGCGATATCGGCTGACTAATAGAACAACTGTTCAAGCGTCGACCTACGTACTATAAATTTAGTAGGGATTGAAAAATAAGACTAAAGTCTAGACTACAACAGGGTCGCACTTTATTACAGTTCGTTGCCAATGGAGACCCAGTAATCCCTCAGATTGTTTTTCCGTGCGAAGATCTCCAAATACTTACCTGCGGAATGGTTCAGTTTGACGTAAACGAGTCAGATGTGGTGAGAGCGGGGGATCAGTTAAAATGTGCGTTAGAGAATGCGAAAACTTGTTTTCACTTAAAGCTGTATGTGTTGAGAAAGGGTAGGTGCAAATGATATCGTGACCAATTTTGAATCATTTGATTATTTAATAATCGTTTAGGTATGATACAGGTGTTGTGTTCCACATACATGCAGTTTTACAAGACCGCAGCGGGATACGTAGAAGACAACGGGTGAAGATACGTCAAATAAACTTTTATAGGCACTATCGCAGCCATACGCCTATCAATTGTTGCTGCACTACTTTTTGCACAACACCTTGGCCTCCCCCGCTAATATTTGAATAGGTAGGCGCAAATAGAGCGAGTCTGAAAGTGAACGCGGAGGCGTCGCTAAGTACTTCAAATATTGTGTACATATGATCTATTGAACGGCTATATAGACGGTAATTCCATGGTCAGTTACAGACTATTGGCTGTTGTTGAGTATTTAGCACAAAATGAAAAGGTACATAGCCTTGAATGTTGTCTCGTATTTGGGAGTGCAGATTGAGCGGTGCAATGTGTAGTTCGAAACCAAGTGATAGACGTGCAACTAAAGGCCTTCTTGGCACATTGTACGCTGATAATATGAAAGGACTCTACATTTTCAGTACCCATGTGTTCCAAGTATACGCATTTGAATACCAATCCTAGTTCCCCATGAACTACGATCTAATACAACTGTAGTTGTGATCTTACCGTTAGGCACTAGAGCTTCGATCAAGTGGTATATCTCCTCTGGTTTTTGACTTTGACCCCTTCGTGGTGCGAAGATGACATCGGTGTGTGTAGTCGACTTGACGTAGTTTAGGTCTCCCTATCATTTTATAAAAAGGGAAGAAAGAGTTTCAGTCCACCCCCAAAGTCGATTGGTCGACGCTTCATATCACAACATACAAGCATGACAGCCAGTTTGCGACTGCTCAGAACAGACGGGCATTTAATGTCGACGCAGGCGCAGTACCAAGCTATTGAATGATTGATAGTTCACAAAATTCACCAGACGGACTTAATCCTGCTGAGAGACCGATGCGCATGCGTATGTATTTCTGACTGCGTAAATCGAGTGAAATGGTGTACCGACGGCCCCTTTTGTGTATATATACAAGTTGGATTCATATGAGCGTATGCTAATTAACGGATACAGATATTCCATACACACACACACACCCACACTCACACACACAAACACAAACACACACACACACACACACACACACACACACACACACACACACACACACTGATAT